GAAAGCGCTGGAACACATTCTACTAAGCGAGGTATCCCAAGAATGGAAAATCATGTAACTTTTTATAGAAGATTCTGTGGTGCCCACACCTGATCCCTGATTGCAGTGTAGGTGAATGAACAGTTCTATGCATGTTGCCAGCATCTTACCTCAAAGGCTTTTAGGTCCCTCTCTGCTTTTCTGCCTCAAGGCTTTCTCTCAAACCCCAGAAGTCTGCTCAGTTCTGGGCATACATAAGCAGGAAATGTGAGAGAGTGCAAGCAGGGGTATGGAGAGTGGTTTAACCCTCAACCAAAGGAGATAGAAATTAGGGGATAAATGCCCTAGCCTCCTTGCTCTTCGGTGGGACAATGGCTGAGGCACGTTCGGCACTGTTCTTCACAGGGTCTCCAGCGAGATTAAGCACATCTGTTTTCAAAAGTAATCGGCTCAATAACAATTTTCTTGGCTTTTTCCCCCTTCCCTCTTTCATTTTCTCCACCTCACTTCTGTTTCCTCTCAAATAAATCACCACACTTCAGGCTCTGCTTTTGGGGAACCCAAATGAAGACACTTTTTAGAGACAACATTTTTCCCTATGTGGTTTGTGCTCAGCCATACTGGACTTGTTGCACTTTCCAGCTGATCACCCACACTTCTGTTCCTTGGCTCATGCTGCTCCCTCTGCCCAGCACAGTCTTCCCCTCCTTTGCCTGGCTGACATCTGTTCATTCTTCAAGATTCACTTCTCTGTGAAGTCTTCACTGATTATCCCACCCTCGCCCGCACTACCAACTTTAAGTTCCATGTCTGATTCCTATAGCACTTCGAACACAGTTAACCTCTGTCGAAGCCATTATCTCTTTGTTTTTTTCTATGAGCTTGAGAAGGGGCCTACCTAGCAAGGTACTTGTCACAAAATTAAGTGCTCAATAAAACTGCCAGGAATGTGCAGTTGTGAACTTAGGAATCATTTTCCATTCAGCAAACATTTACTGAGTATCTAACTTAGTGTCATGCACCACGCTGCATTACGGAGTATACAAAGATGAAGAGATCGACCTCAGGTGTCAGGGAGCTCATGGTCCAGTGAGGAGGAAATAATGCATAAAGCATTGTAAGTGTTGGAACAAAGGACAAATACAAGGAACTGTGGGAGGACAGGGCTGGTCAGAAAAGGATTATGTTCAGTTTGGTCTCAGAAAATAGTGACGTGTCACCACTGAAAGGCGCAAAAGGAAAATATACGAGCAAAAGAAAAGTCTCTAGAGTTGGGGGTTGGTGCAGTTGCAGAGGAGCTAGGAGCCAGAATTCGTTTGCGCTGTGTGTGTTTGGGTTGGGGTGGGCAACACAGTTGGTTCTCAATGTAGTTCAGTTGAAGACATAAGTTACTCAGCACCTCGCTGAAGGCCAGGCGGGTCATGGGGAGAAGCTTTGGGAAATCAATAACCCTGTCCCAAGTCCCCAGAGTGGAGCACCAACCACAGAAAAGCCAGCTGCTCAGCTAGTCTTTGTGGTCAGTACAAGGACCCCGGTCAGCGGCAGGAAAGTGCCATCCCAGCAGACCTGGCCCCAGGCGCCAAAGAGGCAGGAGGCTGAGCCTGCTCAGTTGCCAGGACGCAGTAGCTCAGTTGCGGGGGAGCAGCGCAACGGAGTCCCAGCTCCGCAAGCGCCTGGCCCAGGAGCCCGCTCGCTCCGCGGGGGCGGGGCCTCGGATTCACGCTCCTCCCAGCTCGCCCCTCCCGCCCCCAGCCGCGCGCCGGCCGCCCGCGCGCTGGCTGCCCGTTGCCCTGGCAACCGCAGGGCCGCGTCTTCCCGAGGGAGCTCCTGTCAGCCCGCTGATCCCACCGCCGGCTCCCTACTGCCCCGCGGTTTTTGCGTGGGCTCGGAGACTGAGGGACAACAAAAATGGCGGAGCGGAGCCAGACGGCGCCTGAGGCAGGTCTGTGGGGGCGGTCGGTCAGGGGAAGGCGGAGGCGGCGGAGCTGTTTTGGGCCTGAGGGGACTGTGGATTGGGGCATGGCCCTACTCCTGAGGGGGCATCCCTGTGTGTTTGCGCGGTGGGGCTGCGACCTCAGGGTCAGGGGGTCAAGGGAGGTGTGCACTCCTCTGAGTGGCGGGCAGGGACCTTGAAGTCCTGGTGGTGGAGGAGAGCATGGGGGAGTGTGCACACTCCTGAAAGCATGGGCCCAAAAAGGGCTGGGACCTGAGGGAAGACACAGACCCTAATCCTGAGGGGCACCTGTGGCGGGGGTCCGAGGGATAGGTTGTGTCATGAGAGGGTGTACACAACCCTGTGGGAGTGTGGGAGAGATCCCTGAAGGGGCGTAATTTGGGGTGGGCGGAAAGGGAGGAGAGACCCTGATTCTGAAGAGGCAGGTGTGTGTGGAAGGTGTTATTACTTTAATTGCCATGGAAGGGAGGTTTACACAGAGTAATTGTGGTTTAGGGAAGTGTGTCCTCAGGGTCATCCCTGGCCAGAGAAAGTGTACAAATCCTTGTATGGGTCCTTTAAAAGACAAG